GTATTAGTATCCTAACATTCAAAATTAGTCCTTATGGTACTTTGAATTTAATTGGATCCCATAAGCTCATAGTGAAGGGCACTATTAGGGGGTGTGGCTTTATTGGAGTAGATGTGTTCTTGTTGGTGCTTTTACATATGAACTCAGTTTCCTGGTGGTGGTTCTCTGAGGGGGATCATGATGCAGGCAAAACATTTGAGGGCTCATCTGGGATTCCCCCAGACCAACCAGGCTCCCTAATACATGGAGGAAAACTAATATTCTTTTAAAAGAAGTAGATATGCAAGGTCATTGGATCCTCACCTAAGCATCCAGTAACTACTCCCAACTGGTTGTATGCAATTAGGCCCAAATTCTATGACACCCCAAAGCATCAAGGCATTCTGGAGAAACTGGTATACAGGCTAACAACTGGCAATGAGGATGGCGTCCACCTATGCAACAATGGAAAGCTGTTATATTGTTGGGTGAAGGCCCCAGATATTGTCTAACACCCCTTAGGGGAAAACTTTTTTCTTACAACAATGGTACATTTATTTGTTACTATTATGTCTCAGGTTATTTCAGTTTGTTTAAACAAAATGGGTTTATCAAAAATTAAGATGGCTAAATGTAACTAAATATGTCTAGCTTTTTACTTCTCCCCTTTCTTTGTTCTTGTTTTTTTTTTTTTAAATGTTCCCTCACTTGAGGTCTTGAATATTCACATTTCTTGCAAAACTGTAATCTTTATCTCTCAGGACTCTTAATAACATTGTCGGTGGGTTGGTAGGGGTGCTCATGAAATTCCAAGTGAACAAACTTGAAACTTGTAAAAAAGGTTAGACTTAAGAATGTGTACATAGGTAAACTTAATTTGCAATTGCATACCTATATGTAACTTAAAAAGCAACAGGTCTCAGAGACAATATGGTTTATGCTGCATTATTATATAATCTTTCCTGTCCTAAAAATTTTAGAAAATATGTCCACACTATCTAAAAATATTTAATAATAAACAAGTTTAGAATTTTTAAAGTCTATTTATATTAAGAATAATTGACATAAATATATATGACTAACCTCTTTGCCTTTGCTAATTTCCTTAACCTTTAACTATTTGGATAAACTGAGACATAGAGGAAATTATAATATTCTGTAATGGTATAATATACAAATAAAAATATAAGGTTTCCAATATTTTATTGACTATATTTGTGGTCTTCCAAAATTACCATTTTTCTCTATAGACTGTATTTATTATTTATAATTTGATTTTAAAAGAGCTTCAATCCAAATATTGTATTCTTAAGGCTAAAATTTAATATGGTTAAAACTGTAAAACACTAATTTTATCAAAGCTGCTAACTTGTAAACTATTAAAGATAATTTGTACATGCATGTTAATATTCACCCACCTTATAAATGATCAAACTCTTTAATTGCTCAAAATTGTGATTGCAATCATGCTATGTATTAAGGTAATTTTTTTTGGCTTATTTTGTGTTTTTGAGACAGTGTTTCTCTATGTGTAGTTCTGGATGTCCTGGAACTCACTCTGTAGACCAGATCCGTCTTCTTCTGCCTTCTGATTTCTGGGCTTAAAGATATGTACCACCATTGACCAGTAGTAATTTATATTCAAGGACACACTTCATTTAGTCTTCTGTGTGTTTCTAGATGACAGCTAAAGCAAGTAATTACAAACAAGTAAAGTTTATTTAAAATCAAGTATACTGAGCTGGGCAGTGGTGGCGCACACCCTTAATCCCAGCACTCGGGAGGCAGAGTAAGGTGGATCTCTGTGAATTCGAGGCCAGCCTGGTCTACAAGAGCTAGTTCCAGGACAGCCTCTAAAGCCACAGAGTAACTGTGTCTCGAACCCCCCCCCCAAATCACATATACCTAATAAATGAAATGTTGACCCTTGAATTCCTCAGAGTTATGCTTAATATGGAATTTAAAATACTTAAGACTTTTTCTAAGTCTTCACCTCTGGCAATGTTATCAAAACTGTTTATTTTCTATGTTTTTCTTTTCCCCCATCTCATAATATTAAGTCTTAGGTATTTTTACAACATAATAGAGAGTATTCCCATTTTATTTTCTCTGTTTTATACCACGAGGATAAAAATTTCCATGGATTTGACATCTGTAATTCTATAAGAGAATCTATGATAAATGAAGCTCAAAGAATATTGATGGCCATTTTTTACACAGGATGGACTTGTGTACTTTTATTTATTTATTTTTTATTTTTTTAATCCCGTACCCTCCCACCAACCCCCCCCAGTCCCCTCATTTCCTCAGGGAGGGTGAGGGCCTCCATGGGGGTGTATATAGTCTGTCATTTCATCCAGGGCAGGGCCTAGACCCTCCCCCAAGAGTCCAGGGTGAGAGTGCATTTCTCATTGTTGGATGGGAGTCCAAAGTCCATTTGTATACCCGGGAAAATACTGATTTACTACCCAAGGCTCAATAGATTATTGTGTCCTTTTATAATACTGAGGAAGGGTGGTTTCATGCACAAAATAGATTCCTGTTCAGGAATGAAATGTTTCCAGAAACAGGATAATGAATGTAAACATGCAAATACATGGACCTTTTCACTGACATCAGTGAGCAATTTACAGAAAAGCAGAATTAAAAGGGACTTTCTGTCTTTAATTTTAAGAATAAGTATTACAGCACCCTAGAATCACAGATGATGGAAGGAATATGTTGCTTGATCTTGCCATAAAATAGATATGTTTATGAGGAGATGCAGATTGCAGTATTCTGGTGTTTCTTTTTGCCACTTTTTCCCCACAGTGATGATGGGTGTGTTTACAAGTGAACTCTCTCAGGAGAGGCTCTGTTCAATGCTCTCTCTTATGTTCTCCATAAACAGATTAGCATTTTCTCCTCCTTGTTTTATTTTTCAGAAGCGATCTAACAAATAAAACTTGTCTGAATACCAGAGACAACAAGCTAGCCACACCAGTCAGCCATACAGGCCAGGCAGTTGTGGCACACCACTTTAATGCCAGCAGTCACACTAGTTAGCCACAGAGGCTGACCCGTGGTGGTGCATACTTTTAATACCAGCAATAGAGAGGAATATTAGATGGGGAAAGACAGGAGTCAGTCAGGATGCAGTCACACTGAGGACAGGATCACCCACTTTGGTTTGAGCCTTGGTAGAGGTAAGAACTTTTATGTGGTTGGCTGCTTTTCCTCTACGATCTTTCAGGTTTCCCCCTAATATCTGATTCTGTTTTTTTCTTATCATTACCAACTAGAATTTGTGCTACAACTGACAGAGGTAGATGTCTGAATAACAGCATTTGAGAGCATGTCTACCTGCTCAGAAGTGGAGAAACAGATTACATCTCATGGCCAGTTCAATGTGCCCGAATTTGAGTTGTGCAAGCCCCACTGGGTTCCTCATGGCCCAGCTGACTCGTGAGTCCCCCAGGCTGTCCCCCAGGGTGTCCTGAAACTGAAAGAGTTCCCAAGTACCCGCTAGATCCTGATTCCTAGGAAAGTAATCTCTGAGGTCCCTCAAGGAATTCCCATCAGGCTCCTGTAATCTGGCTCTTGAACATGTCTTTGTACAAATACTGCCAAGTGTTCCAGTCCTACAGAGGCTCTGCTTCATTTACCCTCAATCCTGATGATTGTGCCGCCCCAATCTATCCATGTACTCTTCACACACAGTTGTCAGTGTACCTGACAGAAATGACCTGTGAACATTTGAAGACAAACAACTGAATTTACTAAGATTGCACTAAATACGTGCTCAGGTTTCAATAAACCATTTCTGAGAACACCAAACTATCCTAAGCAATATTTTCCTATGAATATAACTCTCTTCCTGTATTGAAATGCGAAGAAATTTGGTAATTATGTGGATTTGTTCACTATAACATACTACCTTGTCTAAGGTCCAACATATCTGACTCTTCCTGTTTTTAGAAACAATATTCTAATAAAATGCTTTAGAGTTAGACTAACTACTTTTCATACTATCCCAGTACATCAACTTTATTTTCCTGCACACTTTGGGGGATTTCTGAGCTGTTTGTGAATATGTACATTGTCTTTTTTATAGATTATCTCTTTAAAGCTTCATAATTTTATATTTGTATAGATGGGCTCACCCATGAAATTAAGCTAAAGGTATGTCCTCAGCAAAAACATGTATTGAGTTTTGTTTCATGGGGAACAATCTGGAATGTCTTAAATATTAGCATTGTGTAAAGGATATAACGAAAGGAATTGGAATTCACTTCTCGAGGCTTACAAAGCAGGGTGATAATGTAGAGCAGGACATGAAGACATCAAAATGGTCTGCAGTATTTGCCCACAGGCAGGATTTTTCTGAGTGTGATTGGAGTTTGGTTGAAATGTGGGTATTTGCTTGAGTTTATATCCATGCCTGTAAACAGCCCAGTTTGGATGACACTGGAAGGTATTTTTCATTAATCATTTTGTATACCTCTTTATCACTCCTCCTCAGAATGCAAGGATGAGAACAGCCTCCTGAGGTTCCCAAACCTTTGAAATTCTGTATGTGTAGATTCCTTTTATCTTATATGAGTCCTACTATGGCAGTAAGCCTGGAGCATTGAACACAAGCTTCTGTACTTTACTTGACTCGAATGTTTTCACTCTGGTACAGTGGTACCAAGTTCCAAATGCTGCAAGCCCATTACTACAGTTCTAGGTGCCCGATATGGGCATATCTGCATGTGGGCCATCCCGACTTAAGATGTATGAAGGAACAGTGTTTCAGTTCCTAAGGCCATCAGAAATACATGTTTTGTATGGTCTTAGCAACCCCAGAGAGGGTAGTTTGACACCCAAAGGGGTTGCAACCCTCATGCTGAGGCCTTGAGAACAGCTTCTGTATCTATGTACAAGTTTGGAGAAAAAAACTAATGGATTCAGCATGTTTCATGAAACACTTTTTTTAGAGAAATAAAACATATATATGCATCTGTTCACCCCCAACTGGCAACTGAAAATAGAACCAAATGTAACTTGTTGACCCAATCAGCTTTATTTGCCTTCCTTATAGAAATATGGGAAAGGAATACTTTACCAGAGCTATGGGGCAAAACAAAACAAAACAAAACAAAACAAAACAAAACAAAAACCAGCTGTCATCATTAGAATCAACCAGCATGGGATACACCTAATGAATACTGGATACCCAGAGCAAACATGAGTATATCTACAGGTTAAAGAACAGCCAGTCAGCGCTGGGCAGTGGTGGTACATGCCTTTAATCCCCACACACGGGAGGCAGAGGCAGACAGATCCAGCCTGGTCTACAAGAGCTAGTTCCAGGACAGCCTTCAAAGCTCAAAAAACCAAAACCAAACAAACAAAAGGACTGCCAGTCTTGGTGATTTAACTTGCCAAATCTTTTACTAAGGGGCATGATTTGTCTGAGTTTCTTCATGTGAGTTAAGCATATGGAATCTTGTCAGATGCAGGGATTTCTTGAAGCTCTTTGGAGTTTCAAGTTCTATGTCCTCCTCATTCAGCTTCCTTTCAGAGTGGATGGATTCAGTTTCCAGGAAACTGTTACACAACAACATGTTCTTCAGGTGTCTTCATTTTGAAGTATTCAAGGTTGAACAAATAAAGTTTTAATGAACATTTTCCTACATTGTGACATTTTCAGAACTTCCCTCAACATAAATTCTTGTTTCCAAGATTAAACATTATTTAAAGGTTTTTCACAAGTTTCTCTTTCATGATTCTCCGGTACAAACGCTTCAACTGCAGTTAAGGCAGAGTTCGGTGAAAGCAAATTCCACCTTACTTTCTATGAAAAACTTTCTCCACAGTTATGAATTTTCAGGTGATTTCTTACATGAGAAGCAAGCAAGGCTTTTCTGCATACTTTAAATTCCTAAGGCATCTCTCATATGAATTTTTTGATGTGTTCTAAGGCTGGCTTTTTGGATAAAAGATTTCTCACAGTGACAACATTTGTGAGGCTTTTCCCCTGAATGAATTCTCTGATGAGTTCTAAGATTGCTTTTCTGGGTAAAGGATTTGTTACATTCACTACACTGATAAGGTTTCTCTCCTGTATGTATTCTCTGATGAGTTATAAGACAGCCTTTCCGGATAAAGGATTTGTCACATTCACTACACTTGTAAAGATTCTCTCCTGTATGTATTTTTTGATGAATTCTAAGACTGCTCTTCTCGGCAAAGGATTTCTCACATTCACTACATTTGTAAGTTTTCTCTCCTGTATGTATTTTCTGATGTCTTCTAAGATGAGAGCCACAGGTAAAGTCACATTCACTACATTTGTATGGTTTCTCTCCTGTATGTATTCGTTGATGAGCTCTAAGATGGCTACTATTGGTAAAAGATTTCTCACATTCACTACACTTGTAAGGTTTCTCTCCTGTATGCATTCTCTGATGAGTTCTAAGATGGCTATTCTGGGTAAAGGATCTGTCACAGTCACTACACTTGTAAGGCTTCTCTCCTGTGTGGATTCTCTGATGAGCTCTAAGACTGACTTTCTGGGTAAAGGATTTCTCACATTCACTACACTTGTAATATTTGTCACCTGTGTGGATTCTCTGATGTCTTTTAAGATGAGAAAATCTACAAAAGGATTTACCACATTCATTACATATGTAAAGTTTCTCTCCTGTATAGGTTCGACCATTGTATTCAAGGTGTGACCAAGTATAGAAGGGACTATTACCTTGTTTACATTCAGAAAGTCTCTCTCCTGCATGAGTTCTCTGATGTCTGCTGAGGCTTGAGTACATCTTGAACCATTTTCCACATTTCTTGCATTGCTGTGGCTTCTTGGCAGTATTGGCTCCTTTCATTGTGAGTGTGTGTTTAGGATCAAAAGGTTTATCATAGTCTGTATCCTTGTGTTCTTCTTTTCCTGAGTGGATTCTTTGATTTTGACTAACAATGGAACACAAATCTAAAGAGTTTACACACTCTTCGTATTTGTAAGGTTCTTCTCCAGTGTTCCCACTTTTATGTCTGTTTCTGTTAAATGATTCAACAGAGGTGTCTCCATGGCTACAAAAACAGCCCTCCTTGCAGTTTTCTGCAATGTCATTTCTGTCATACGGTACACTTTCAGAAGGTTCATGAATAACTTCTCCAATTTCATTATATTGAGAAGGTTTCTCTTGGATATTCATATGATCATGGACAATATGCTTTGTGCCTTGATCCAAGACTGTCTCATATTTACCAAATGTGCAATGGTTCCCTGAAAAATTAATTCAGTTAGGGATAACATGGATTAATGAATGAGTAAAAGATTCAATAACTGATGCTTTCTAAGATATGTAAACAAGAAATTCTCAGGGATTCAGCTCTCAGCAAATGCACTTTCTGATTCACAATCATTAAATAGATGCTCATAAGAACCTCCAATCTGATCTATATCAAACCACAGAGACCAATAATAGGCCTCGCATTCTTATATAAACTGTACCTTCCAGAAGGGAGGACAAATGGGTGACCAAGCAACAAATAACTTTGACAAAGGAGACGTCTAAAGAATCATATGGAGAATAATCCTCTATTTTCTTGTTTATGATTTTGAGACAGAGTCACACCTCTGAGAGGCGCTGTTGAGCTAGGAGCTCTATATCCCTGGGTGATATGGAACTCAGCATACCTTCTTGCTTCAGTATCCAGTGCTAGGATTAAAAGCATGCTATGATAATTGTTCCCTTTGAATTCTCCATGGTGTTGTAGGGAATAAGGAGGTGAAAAGCAATTTTCCACAATGAAAGTACATCTCAAAAATGAACAACATTCCCTGTGCATTGGTGGCGCATCCCTTTAATCCCAGCTCTTGGGAGGCAGAGACAGGTGGATCTCTGTGAGTTCGAAGTCAGCCTGGTCTACAGAGCAAGTGTCAGGACAGGCTCCAAAGCAATTATAGAGAAACCCTGTCTCAAGAAACCAAAAGGAGTACAAAAATTCAAAAGGAAGAACATTCTTTCAATCATCACTTTTTCCTCTACTAATAACGTTCTGATTTTTTAAAAATCAGGAGTGAGTAGGTTAATAGTAATATCAAAATATTACAATTGTTATGTATACTGTAAAATAGTCCCTTGACCTGAATATACATTTTTTTTAATTTTAAAGTTTTCTTTAAAAACATAAGAGGGCTGGAGTGATTACACAGAATATAGCATTGGCTATTCTTCCAGAGAACACATAAAAATGAAAACAAATCATGATGCAAGTTGTTAATAACTAGAATTTGCCTTAGAGCTGAAGTCTCTAGATAGTTCAGAGGTTAAATATACATAAAGTAGGTAAATACAAAGGATGAATCAGGGATTGTACAAGAACATTCTTACCCACAAAGAGTAGGTTGTTGTAATTCTCCAGCATCACATCCATGTACAAAGCCCTCTGAGCACAGTTTAGACATTCCCATTCTTCCTGTGAGAGGTCCACAGCCACATCCCTGAACGATAACAGACTCTGTAATGGAAAAATTACCTGTTTACCATGTTTTAGTTACCATGTGCTGCTGCACAATATGCTTTCCTAGAGAAAAGATATCAGAAGAATCACAAGCAGTTTTATAACGAAGATAAGGCACAGCAATGAATCAGGAATAGAAGTGCTTGAGACGTGTGAGAAGTTAGGCATTGTTGCTCCAACATAGACAATGTGTAGAATGACTTGTTACACTACTTACATTCATGTGGTGTTTCTCGCTTATGAATTTTCTGATATTTTCTAATGCCTGAGCAGCAGAAAAAGGATTTGCCATCATCACTGCATCTGAAAATTTTATCTCCAGTTTTGACTCGATACAGTCTTTTAAAGTCTTTCAAAATGCAGTGTGGTTCCCAGCACACTCAGGGCATCATACAACAGATTTCAACACCAGTTCTAGAAGAACCAACGCACTCATCTGAACTCTGCAGCGGGAAGCATACATAGCATGCACACATAAATCTTGGCAAATATACCAATATACATAAACCTAAATTAAAATTTAATTTTAAATCAAAGATACTTTCTAAATAGCTGGCCTTTACTGTATTTTTTTTTACTAAATGTGAAAAGAGAATGACTTAATAGTCTTATAACCAGCAAACTTTATGTTATATAGTTACACATTTGAGCACTAGAGGTAGGAATGTACCTTTATGTTTTGATATCAAACAAGACCCTAGTATCATGTCTCAGACGGTCAAGTTATGATGAGCAAACTATTTTTCCAAATTCTGTAATTGTTCGACCTTGCTTAATACTGGACACTAGATCAATCATGCTGCAGCTGGGCCTCACCTTACTCTATTCTAAAAATGCTCAGTTCAGATCATGAGGCCCAGGTCCGGTGCTGAAGCCTTTCTAGAACAAATAGGTAGAATATAGAGTGCAGAATTTACGGATGAATTAAAATCAGAGTTTCTTTCTTTAAAGAGTAAGCACTGTAATCAATATGCACATCAATGGTCCAAAACCCACATAGAATCAAATACTTTGTGAAGTTATTTTAGAATACCTTCACAAGCATGAAGTAATTGAGAAGCCAACATTAGACAGCATTAAGATTATTTAAACTTTTATAAAAGTGGATACAAGCAATACAGATTAGGACAATTTCATACACTCCATGTGGTGTTTCACTATACAATGAGAATATATCTGTAAATAAATGGCATATGTGCCAATGCATTCAAATGAAGTAGAAACATTTTCTGTGAATGATGAATTAAATTGAGTAATGATGATTATACTAACTTTTCATTAATTTTGAATATACTTCAGGAAATTGGGTCAGTTGAAAATGTGAATCTTCTAATTTCAACTTTATTCATTTCTTCTGTATTAGAGCTCATTCATCTAGCAGAATTTTAGGCTGCATAGATAAATATCTATAACTGTTCCTTCACTTTAAAACTGTAAGATGCATGGTTATGTATTATCTGTCACAAATGTGCATTAGAGTGTAAACCTGTGGTCTGGAGAAATGACTCAGAGATTAAAGGCGCTTGCTGTTTGGGCAGAGCAAACTTAATTTAATTCTCTCGCTACACACAGCAGCTCCCTACAATGCCTGACTTTAGTGCCAAGGGTTTGGTGCCAACCACAGACATCCAGGGGCATAATGCACCATGCAATGTACATAAAAATATGCATATGAACACTCATATACATACATAGAATAATACTGTAAAGAAAGAAATAGGCTGGGCGTTGGTGGCGCATGCTTTTAATCCCAGCACTCAGGAGGCAGAGGCAGGAGGATCTCTGTGAGTTCGAGGCCAGCCTGGTCTACAGAGCTACTTCCAGGACAGCCTCCAAAACAATACAGAAAAACCCTGTATTGAAAACCCCCCAAAAAAAGAGAAAGAAATAGAACCATCACCACTAATCTTAGAATTTCTCCCTTCAGGAAACATAGTTTCAGGGAGAGGGAAGACACAGGGTAAAAGGAACCTTCTTCTTCCAAAAAATAGAAACACAGTAAATGAATTAAGAGGGATATCTGTTGATGCTTGAAAATTGATTCTTCATGCACAGCATCAAGTCAATCCTGTCTAGAAAATTCTTAGTAACATAATTCCACATGATAGAAGTACAAAGTGGAGACGGTAGTGCTTATGCCCCTTATGAAAAATAAAATAAGAGAAAAATAATCATCTGTCTATTGAGAATTTACCACTGAGCACTGAACAGACCCTTTTTTGTGACAAACAGATTTCATGTGTCAGCACATCCAACACCACTGTTTGACATAAAATGCCAAAAAGAGAAACCATGATCTTCACAGAGAAATCAATGTTATGGCAAGAGAAAGACACATTATTTCTCCCATTATGTACTGTATAGGGTGCTATGATATTTAATATTCAGAGTCAAGACGGTGAGTTTCTTCGACTTGTACTTTGGCATGAACTGCTCAGTGATGTCAGTGAAAAGGACCATTTTCATAAGCCTGTTTCTGGAAATCTGACCATTCTAGAAATGCAATGTATGAGGCACATGAAACCTTCCTTCTTCACAGATATAAAAGGACACAAATCCTATTCTATGCAAAAAAAATGGCCATCAGTATATTTCTATGAACACCATTTACAATAATTCTCTTTCAGAATGGCAGGTACATTAATTCCATAAAAATTTATGTCATTGGAGCATAAAATCAAGTGACAATATAATGGACCAAGGCTGAGCTTTGTGGATGAATGATCTAAAGATTTTTGCTTGATTATAAGAGAAGAAAACAAGGATAAATCATAGAATGGGAAGACTTTAGATATCATTACCAAGGTAGAGAATTAAATTCTTGAATGGCTTCAATAATAAAAACATTTTTCAACAAAATGTGGACATGACACTGACCTGGGGTGCATTTGTCACAAAAGAATTCATTCTTCTCATTGTTCTTCTCTCAATTTCTCTCTCAGAAACAAAGACTGGAATTCTTGTTGAAACTTCACATCAAAATGTCAAAAATACAAAGCTAAAATTAATACAATTCTGTTATAGACAATGCCAAACCACATTTAAAAACTTAAAACCAAAATGATACCAGAAAACTTATCAACATCCCTGTACATAGGAGAGAGTCAAAAGACATATTTAGAATGGGGAAAGAAATTGACTATGAACCTTATCACCTCACCCAGGAACATGGGCTCTTAAAATTCATGGAGCAGGAAGGGCACAGAAAGAAGCCTATAAAATAGCACAGGTCCCTCAATCATGTTGCACTGTGAGCCAGCATTAAAGAAAAAGTGTGGACAGGAAAAAAAAACAGAAAGTAATAATCCATGAGAACACAGCAAATAATGCATTTTATATAAGGAATTAATGAATAGAGAGAGCTGGGGAGTGACAAACTATGTTCAACAAACAAAATCATTGAACTATCATTTCTAACTAGAATGAAACAAATTAGGACCAGTAATATCACCAACCAGAATACTAAATAAATAAATAAAGTCACATGACAAATATAAGCCCCACGATATGAAAATCCTGGTATAACAGAAATGCCAAAAGACAAACCAACAGACTTTATTATAAACTCCCAAAGGTAACAGGAAGAAGTAGATAAAACTGAACACAGCAAAGGGCAGGTGTGCTACACCAATGCCAAGAGGACAGTGCGGAGGAAAAATGAGTAGCATTAGTAGCAAAACTCTAGGGAGAAGATGCATACAACCTCCAGTCTTACTGAATCCAAGGGAGAAGACGCATGCAACCTCCAGTCTTACTGAATCTAAGGGAGAAGACACATACAATCTCCAGTCTTACTGAATCTAAGGGAGAAGATGCATACAATCCCCAGTCTTACTGAATCCGAGGGAGAAGACACATACAATCCCCAGTCTTACTGAATCCAAGGGAGAAGATGCATACAACCTCCAGTCTTACTGAATCCAAGGGAGAAGATGCATACAACCTCCAGTCTTACTGAATCTAAGGGAGAAGATGCATACAACCTCCAGTCTTACTGAATCCAAGGGAGAAGATACATACAACCTCCAGTCGTAATGAATCCAAGGGAGGAATTGCATACAACCTCCAGTCTTACTGAATCCAGAGCCGTAAGGGAGAAGAGGGGAAATTTGAATACCAAAAAGAATTAAGGAGAAACAGGTAAGAAAGGCACCAAATTCCTTTTTAATGATGATGTGATCACAAAAGTCACCACACTCACCGTGGGAAAATCTTAGATTTGGTAAGTACTTTATATATAATTAAAAAGAACAAAACTAACACACAATGCCACTACCTTTCCTATTTATTAATAATGACAATTGCAAAGCAATGAAGTAATTTAGAAATTAAAGACATTCAAGCTACTTCCAAAAGAGTTAAGAATAATGTTAAATAATGATGAATTTATTTCTATGAAGAAACTGTTTTTTTTTTTTCTGGAGACAGGATTTCTCTGTGTAGCTTTGGACCCTCTCCTGGACTCACTCTATAGACCAGGCTGGCCTTGAACTTACAGAGATCCACCTGGCTCTGCCCCCTCAGTGCTGAGATTAAAGTCATGTACCACCACCATCTGGGCAAAACTTTTAAGGCATTCAGGAAAAAAGAAAAAAGAATAACAGTACACAAAGAAATAGACTTCCAGCCGGGCGGTGGTGGCATATGCCTTTAATCCCAGCACTCGGGAGGCAGAGGCAGGCGGATCTCTGTGAGTTCGAGGCCAGGCTGGACCAACAACCTCCAAAACAATACAGAGAAACCCTGTCTCGTAAAAACCAAAAAAAAAAAAAAAAAAAAAAAAAAAGAAAGAAAAAAGAAAGAAATAGACTTCCAAGAACATTGACTGATGAATACAGTGGTGTATATTGTTTGTCTTGGTGAGGGTGTCTACGTCTGAAATGGAAGACCACGAGCAAAAAGCATGGTGGAGAGGTAAGACTTTATTTGCTTCACACTTCTACATCACTGTTGATCATTGAAGGTAGTTGGGACAGGAGCTCAAACAGGGCAGGAAGCAGGAGGCAGGAACTAATAAAGAAGCCATGAAGATTACTAGCTTGTTCTCCTTGATTTGTTCAGCCTGCTTTTGTAGATGGAGTTTCTTTCCCACCTGGTCCCACAACCACTTTACACCAAATAAACACACAGAGACTTATATTAATTATAAGCTGTTTGGCCAATGGCTTAGGCTTCTTACTAGCTAGCTCTCTCTTAATTACTAACCTATTTCTACTAAACAATGTATTGCCACGAGGCTGTGCCTAACCTATAATCCAGCATGTTTTCTCTCTGCTTTCCTCTCAGAATTCTCCTAGTCTGGTAGATATGCCTATACTTCCTGCCTGGCTACTGGCCAATCAGTGTTTTATTCCTGCCTGGCTATTGACAATCAGTGTTTTATTCATCAACCAATAAGACAGACATATATACAGAAAGACATCCCCCATCATGGTTCTCACAGAATAAAAGACCACAGCCCAGGGACGTAACTACCCACACTAGACAGGGCCCTCACCCACCAATCGCTCCTTAAGAAAATACGTACTAGCCAGTTCTTATAGAAGCATGTTCTCAATTGAAGTTCCCTCCTTTCCATTAACTATAGCTTCTGTCAAATTAACATAAAATTATAGTGCACATTGTTATATTATTATAGCAACTAAAATAACTGATGCAATCCTATAAGGAAAATATTGATCTTTTCCACAAAAGTAGATATGGAAACAGTTACAAAGACACAGGAAAGTCAGAAATATCAAAGCTATCCCCAAGAAGGAGTATTTTGGGGTGTATCAAAGGACTTGATCATATACCATAATATAGAGGCAGAAGGATAAAGACAGTATGGATCTACAAATAAAGAAACATGTAGAAAATTAAACAGAACAGATTCCAAAAAGAATCACAAAGCAGAGAGGTTAAGTAAGCTGAATATGTCAAAAGACAAACCCAGGAAAAGAGAGAGTCCTTTGAATATTCTCTGCTGGGAAAATGATTATCCATGTGTAGATAAGTGTTATTAGGGACATATTTCTTACCCTAAATAAAAATAAGCACAAAGTGGATCAAGGGCATCCCTGGAGAACTTGAAAGACTAAATAAAAGTGTAAAAAGAAAGCATGATTAAATACTTAATAATTTAAAAATAAGCAAACACACACTGAAAGAGATTCAAGAGTACAGAAATTAACTAGAAAAAAAATGGCAAAGCAGTTTCATGGAGTAAAAAGCTGCTCAAGTCAGAGAAGTAGATTTTCTTCACACAATGGCCTAACATATACATTAAACAAGAGCAGCATAATAATACATGAAGTTCAAGCAGTCTCCACAAATGACCTTTGGGTAGGCACAAGAGCTTTCAATGGAGGTAGGGACAGAGAAGATAAGGGTTATTAGAGGACTGACAGTGTCATGACAGGCAGGTGACAGACAATAGCTGCCCTGGAGAATGGAGCTTTCTAGGAGGAAGAACCCAAAAACCATGCTGCAGCCTTGAGATGGGGGTGCATCATACATGAATAACTCTGCTCTGTGCTCTTCATATGACATCACAAGGCAAGAGGGAAATTATAAATAACAGTGTCGTAAACTCACAGTGCAGGAAAAGGACAGCTACCATAGTGACAGGAAAAGAAGGCAGGGAGAATGCTATTTTCTCCAACTAAAGATAGGAAATTGTCTCCAATATGAACACACAGTCATAATCTGGAGGTTGTGATTCTTGGCAAAAGACCATAGACTCAATCCAATTATAAATGAAAAGATTCCTTGATTAAAGCTTCTGGCTGGATAACAATGTCTAAGCTAAATTTGAGATTATCATGCATACACGGAAAGAGAAAGGCTTTTCAAAGAGGAAAACCACAAGAAGATCTTCAATGTCTACACAAGCAAGCAGAAACCTGTTCTGTTCTGCCCAATTAAATGGCAAAGGCAACCCCCAACAAACTTTAGGTATCTGTGTAAGCAACTTACAGAAACAAAATAGAAGGAGTTAGTCATATAGACATGGCGGTACACTTTTGAGTGGGGGGGTGTTACTGAATCAGGGTTACTTGAATTTATCTTCCAGGGACCTGAGTTAGAGACAAATGGATGAACTTTCGTGTGATAATAAGCACCACAGATAGACTAACTTCTCCCCATCCCTGATTCTTTATCAATAGTAAACAAAAGAAGGTGAAAAATAAGCTCCTTGAGGCATGCATGCTATTGTCCAGCACCAACCACCGAGGACCACGTGAGAGTCCACACACAGAAAACCCTAATAACCACACACAGTGCCTGAGGATACAGGTAGCCGAGCTCTGTCCTATAGACCAAAAAATCCCAAGTTCTGGACTTGAAAACCTACCAATCCCCACTGTGGAAAGTTCTGTGCCCAAGAAATACTGTATGAACCCTGCCTTTCTGCTCAGTTATATGATGCTTCCTGCCAGAGCAGAGGCAGACACATACTTGGGTTCTTTCCTCTCAATAAACCTCATGTGTGAGCTTGGTTGCACACTGTGACTTTGTGGTATTCCTTGCTTCCCAATGGTAAGAACACCTTTCCCTTAAGTCTTTGAATACTTGTGTTGTGGAAACCTCCCTCATGGGAACAGAACTGAAGCACGTGCAGTGGGAAAGTAGTCTCCCTCAGAACTGTAACACTTGTATTGGGGAAACCTTCCTCCTTAGTGATGAAGTACTTCCACTGGAGAAACCTTCCCCCTCAGAACTGTAACACTTCCACTGGGAAAGCCTTTCCCCTCAGAGCTCTACCTTACACTTTCTCCTCTGAGAATTTCACCTTCCACTATGAGATGGGAGACTCATTCACACAAAGCTCACATACTTCCAGAATGATTGTAGCTGGAATCCTGAGGAGGAGGAATGCTGCAATTCCAGCAAATCCCATCTCTATCAGAGTCAGCTGAGTGGGTTCACGTATTGCCCTCCTCCGCCCGAGAGCAGCTCACAGTCACAGCAATGACTGCGAACGCAT